GAAGAAAGACCGTATTTTAGCAGTAAAGACTCGCATGCGATATTGGGAATATCTTCCGCACCTTTTACCAGCAAGACTGTTGTCCTATACAATCACTTTCAAAAAAGATGTACAAGCTACGCACCACGTTGCATCGCAAGAAATATAAATTATCTAATATTAAATATAAAAATAAATAAATATATAAATATAGATAAATATGAAAAGTAATATTATATCTTCCATCGCTTTTCCTCACATATTCTTTTCAGGAAATTTATATCTACAAATTTTAGTTTTTTTACTATTGATTGTCGCAATGACATTTTCAGTTACACGAAAAGAGAAATGACTTTGCTGAAGTATCTAGGAATTTAGTACAGATCTGAAAATAATTTTATTTGATCATCAAAGTAGTTTTTGTGACTTGATTTTTGTGACGAGATCGAAACACTCTGTATATTACGGCACGCGGCAGAACGTGGCGTTTGAAATGCATGAAAGCATGCTTTATATTCGCATAAAGGCCCGAAGTACATGTTGTCGGACGCGAATATGCGTATCACACCCGGGGGCTCTAACAAATAGTTCCGGTTATCGGTGCTTTCGCGCGACTTAGGCTCTCCCTTTCTGTCTCTCGCACACGCTCTGCCAGTTGCACCGTTAATAAACTCATCCAGAAGGAGAGCATGCGTTCGAAGGCCAAGTTTAGATGTCCAGATTCGTCGGGAAAGATAGATACCAGAAGGAACTTGCTGCGCGCGTAAACTATGCGTGAGTTAACTTCCCAAGAGATATGTATATACGCGCTGTGCGTCAAACGCTCTGTTCACGCCAAATTGTTACTCCATATCTCGAACGGAAGTTTCTTCAGTGGCGCGATATCCGGCGAATACATAAATTGTTATTAGAAGAAATTCTTTTGCAAAAAGTACACAATAATAATAGAAACAAGTTTACAAAGAATAGTTTTATTAAAATATAAATAGAAAAATTAACTTTATAGCTGCAGATTTTTTTCTAGTTCTAATTCCTAGAACTAGAAAAAGATGAAGAGTTAGTTGAACCAAGATTAAAATTAATTAATAACGTTAATTAGATAAAATGGGCATTAAAAATTTGTAATAATTTATATGTTTTTAAGAAAGTATTATTTTAAGTTTTTATTTACATATTTATAATCGAAAATAAATTCTTGAGATAAATTAAAAATTGAAATAGCTTAGCGCATTAAAATGGGATTAAAATTAATTATAGTTTCTTTGCAATGGAAATGATAGCCAACGGATCTCTGACATTCTTTCTATAATAAATCGAAACTCTGCGTGAAACATTAATTCTGTCACACTGTAGAATTTTTTATAAAACTCGTTAAATCAAGAAATTAGCATAATTGAGAGAAGATTCCTTGTGCGACTCGTAGAATTTATGCGCGATGTTAATTACGACAGTGTTTATCGCATAGTTAGCATACAGCTAAATCTCTCGAGTTATTTCTACGAACGGCAGTGAAAACTTTCGAACGATGATGCAAGATCATTGAAAAGACAGCAAATGAATCTCGACGGGTTCCTTGTTTTTCTTAGCTCCGCGGAGGGACGGAGGCAAGCATGCAGGGGACATGAACATAGTGAATTTATGATTAATGCTCGTGAGACGCACGATTTGATATAAAACCCGACACCATCTGACCGCCGTCAGTTTTACCATCTAACGAGGAAGCATAACACATACCTTATCCATACCTCGCCATAAATCTCGTCGCGCGTTTTGATTTACGTACCTTTAGGAGCGTTTGCGAAGAAACGCGCGATATCACGGCGAGCTGCTACACACGCGTTTACGCCTCCCTTGCCTGTTTACGAGCCCCGAATGTAACCCCAACTTCCCTCGTTGCTGCGAAAATCAAAAGTCTCAAAGAGATGGATTGACGCGTACAAATCGTTGTTTTAACGCAACAGAAGCGTGTCTTTCACGCTTTATATCGATATATTTTCTTCTCGCGACTAGGCGAATCGACCTCATCCTCGGTACGATCAATTGAGCGACAGCAAATGTAAATAAACGACTTAGAATGGACTTGCGGGATATTAATATGTATAAACTTTTAATTAGCTGTCGCGACGCTGACGGCAAATGGATTGCGCTTATGCAAGCGCGTGCTATTTGCAGAAACTAGTTATGAGCGAGGATAGACGTGGGAGAGCAAAAAGAGCACAAAATTTCCATAAAAGAGGAGTGTATCGTAACCCAAACAACGTTGGCCAGCATCCCGCATATCCCAGGCAACAGGGCCGAGGCTTTAAAAGTGATTCATTGCCGAGATCCCTCTCCTATCTCCCTCATATTACCTCTAGCTACTTTATGCAATACATTAATGGATATTCATTTCGTTGAATAAGTTTTATGTATAATAGTTCTCCGTATCGCTCGCTAATACAGCGCAGCCCGCAGGGTTCAATTTCGATATATCACATCGTGGTATATCGGTCACGCAATTATCCTATTAAAAGAAAAAGACGAATGATGAAAGGTGGAATTTTTCTAATACCGTCGCCAAAGTGATCAGGTAGTTACTTTTAAGATGAAACGATGAGATAACGATTGGGCGAGATACGCGTGAAGCCTGTAAATGCGACGGATGAAAAGCTAGATAGACGGCCGTTGATGATTATACATGACGCGTGTATTCATTACGGCGCAATCGTGCTGCGCGCGTTTCGATTCATAATAAACGTATTCTCTGTAATATTGTCAGACAGAGCGGGGTCGCGTCGAAGGGAGATCGGCGATAATGCCCGTCGTTGACGGGTTCAACGATGCTCCGAAGCGAACTCCATAACGAAGCGAAAATCAAAAGCGCGCATACGTCTCTATTGAGAGGCATCGGGGTCTCGCTTCCGCGCAGCTGCGGCGGATGCATCTCGCCGGTGCATTTCGTTATACCGCGCGCACGCCAATCGGCCGTATCGGGGATTCGAGCCACACACGTAGCGGGACTTCTCCCTTAATTCCAAACGCGGGTACATGTACGTCGACCGCGACGGCGTCTTATAAATAGCGACGCCCGCGTCGAGGCGCTAGCAGTTAACAAACGGTAAAACTAACACCGCCTCCTACGATAACATTTCGCTCCGGTCACGTGTTTTCCGCGGGTCGACTATTATAAGATCCATGACTGTGTGTGCTTCGATCCCTTTCTCTGCCTCTTTCTCTCCTTTTTTTCTTCTCTCTTTCTCTCCCCAGCCATCTTTCTTCGTTCTTTCTCGCTGTACCCTTTAGCCTTTTGTGCTTCCACCGTTCCCTTTCCTCCGACAGATTTCGATTCTCCATGGAACAATGCATTCTTTGAATAAATTTTTATTTATCTCGTTATTTCGATAAAGTTTTATTCACTTACATTATTAGGGTTGTCACAAAATTGGAAATAAAGGAAATGTCAGGAAAATTGACAACAATCAAGGAAAGCAGAGAAAATATCAGGGAATTTTGCAAAATTTTCTGGAAAATTAAAATAACAATTCTTGGCTTTAAAGAAATTTAATATGAATACATCACACCTACACAGTTTTGGAATAATACCAACTTAACAATCAAATGCAAGCAGTGTCAATACGTTAATTTATTGCTATGTTAAATTGCTCTGTCAACAAAATATTTGACAGTTTTCAGGTCAAGATGAAAATACAAACAATTTCAAAATATTATTGAAAACATCAGAGAAAATGAAATTATGAAATTTTGTTTGAAAATCAGAGAACAGAATTTCGAATGAAGAAGTTATGACAACTCTGATGCAAACAAAATATTTAAAAACGAATGATATGTATGTATAAACAATATTAGTTTTATCTCGCAGAAATGTTAATTCAATTATAATTTAATAAAATACCAATAAAAATTAATAACAATTCGTTTGTAAATTAAAAAAATGCATACTCTAGTTATACTTTAGTTCATTCGAATCTACAATCTAAATGCATCATTTAAACAATATTTTATTTGAGTGCGATATTTATTGATAAATGCACAGAGAGGTTTCATTCGAATAGTTATCCTTATTCACGAATAAGATTCTATTCTTCATTGGTTATTTATTATTCGTGAATTTATCCAGGCTCTTGAGCCAACACCCTACAGCTCTGTGAGAGGCGTACCGGTTTCGAAACCGGGTATCTAGCGATCGAAGCACCGACGTTGATTTATGTACGAGACATTCGAACGCTACGCCCTTGCTCGTTAAGGTCGACCGAACGGACGAGCGAGCGAGCGGCCAGGCATCCCGCGCCGGCCGGCTATTTAGGCATCGATCGCTGGATTCGGACTTTTACTCGGAAAGAGCGAATACACGCGGTGCGACTCGCTCCGGAGCTACTGAAACCGGCACCGTGCTGCTTTGATAGTCCGAATTGCAAACGAAACAAGACTCGTGCATATGTTCTGCTAACCGATCTCGACAGAGTCGCGCATCTCGTTTCGGGATTAAATTCGAACCTACTCGGAACGCCCAGTCTCTCTGAAACGTGATGAATACTCTGGTAAATACTACTCCCTCGTCCGACGAGATTCGCGTTATTCGCAGAATGAATTATTAGCGAGAATTGATGTTAGCTCTCTTCATGTTCGGAAACTGTAAGTAATCATTGAAAACTAGATAGCTCAAATCAATATGATGAAATATAGAAGGCTATAAATTTTCAATAAATCTTATTACTATGTTTATTTCTGTATCTGCATTACATAAATTCACATGACTAAACAAATTTTTTTATTTAATATATGTAAAATACATATTTAATGTATTTATTAATGTTTTTAAACGTTTAATAAATACATTAAATACGTATTTTACTGTATATTAAATATAGAAATTTGTTTATTTATACAAATTAATATGATACAAGAAGTATTGAAAGAAAAATAACACTTCACTTGCATATTGCGCTCTTATACTTTTCACAATGCAAATTTTGCCATAGAAACATTAATAATAAAATGGAACTCTTTGATTTCTGTTGCAGACTGCCATTATGCCAGCTATGCAGCCATGAGTCGAACATCTTTGAGCATGAGACCCGCGCGACGGACGAAGTTATTTCCTACGCGAACAATGACGAGTCTGTTAACGTTGCTGGTGTTCGTAACGACGTTTTCGAATGTATTACCGGAATCGGCAATAAATCCGATAGGTAGTATCGTCGGCTCAGGATCAGGAGTTTCATCCTCGTCCGGCAGTTCCTCATCCTCGTCGTCATCGGTGATCGGCGTGGTATCCGACAGTTCCAGTCCTAACGGCAATGGGGTTGGTGGTGTTGGAAACGGTAACGGTGTTGGAGGTGTCAGCGGTAATGTCGGTGGTAGCCATTCCGTTATAAATGGAGGAGGTGGTGGGCATTCCGGCATCGGAGGCGGTAACGGGAAGGGTCGATGCGAAGAGATCACAATTCCTATGTGCCGCGGTATCGGCTACAATCTTACCGCCATGCCGAATGAATTGAATCATGACACGCAGGATGAGGCCGGCTTGGAAGTGCACCAGTTTTGGCCGTTGGTAGAGATCAAATGTTCAGCGGATCTCAAATTCTTCTTGTGCTCTATGTATGCACCGATCTGCCTACCGGAGTATACGAAACCACTGCCAGCATGTCGCAGCGTGTGCGAGCGAGCGCGAACAGGTTGCGCGCCCTTGATGCAACAATACGGCTTCTCGTGGCCGGAGAGAATGGCATGCGAGCGTCTGCCGTATCATGGTGACCCGGAGAACCTGTGCATGGAACAGGATAATCACACCAGCACTAGCACAGGTCCTGGTAGTAACGGCGGCGCAGTGAGCAGCGGTGTCCCAGGACCACCAGGCCCGCCAGCGCGGCCCACACGGCCCAGCAAGACTTCGCAACCGGCCCGCTGTAAGCCGGGCAAGAATCAAAAAAACTGCCAGCACCCCCCGGGGGAGAGGACGAGGGATTGCGCGTGCAGATGCAGAGCGCCCCTCGTGCCCCTGGGGGCGGGTGGTTCGGGGATATCAGGACCGATAAACGCCGTCAGCAGCAGCGTCATCGGGACCGGCAACACCGGGGCCAACGCGGGGGCTGGTCTGGCCGGCATGGCCGTAAGTGGGATAATGCCGGCGCCAGCACCGCCATCGATGGGAGGTATCGGCCGAAGTATCATCCAGGAGATCGCGGGGGTGCAGAACTGTGCTCTACCATGCCGCGGCGCGTTCCTCACCAACGAAGAACGCGAGTTCGCGGCCGTATGGCTGGCTCTTTGGAGCGGTCTGTGCGCCGCCAGCACTCTCGTGACCGTCATCACATTCTTAATCGACACCCAGCGTTTCAAATATCCTGAGCGACCGATCGTCTTCCTGTCAGCCTGCTATTTCGTCGTATCCTTGGGATACTTATCGCGCAGCGTGTTTGGACACGAAGAAATCGCCTGCGACGGTCCGGCTTTGAAATCGGGCGCTCAGGGTCCAGGCGCCTGTGTCACCGTTTTCCTCCTGATTTACTTCTTTGGTATGGCTTCATCAGTGTGGTGGGTGATCCTGGCGTTTACATGGTTCCTCGCGGCAGGTTTGAAGTGGGGCAACGAGGCGATAGCATCGTATTCGCAATATTTCCATCTAGTGGCGTGGCTGGCCCCAACTGTACAAACGGTTTGGGCGTATGTCGCAGGTGGCGTCGCCGGTGATCCGGTGGCAGGGGTTTGTACAGTCGCTCCCGAGGGGGTGCGCAATTTCATCCTAGCACCTCTATTCGTCTACCTTCTGCTGGGCACGACTTTTCTTCTGGCTGGTTTCGTGAGCCTCTTCCGAATTCGATCGGTGATCAAACGTCAACCTGGAGCCAAGGCGGACAAATTGGAAAAACTGATGATACGGATCGGCGTGTTTAGCGTTCTCTATACATTACCAGCCAGCGTGGTGTTAGGCTGTCATATGTACGAGTCAGCTCTACGGGATGAGTGGCTCAGTTCTCTGGCGTGTCCTTGTCATCCACGGACAAGACCGTTATACTCCATCCTAATGCTGAAATATTTCATGGCTCTCGCAGTCGGCATTACCTCAGGAGTCTGGATCTGGAGTGGCAAGACGGTCGATTCTTGGAAACGACTATGGAGGCGTTTGTTCGGCGGTGATCGCAGTCACATGAGCGCCGGTGCCGGGATGGTAGCCGGTGTAACCGGCGTCGGCAGCGGTATCGGCAGCAGTATTGGTATCAAAGGTGTCGTGGGTCGGGGGATCGCAATGCCGTACCCATCAGCGCCAGGTCCGGGCAGCGCTCTGTTACCCCCAGGAAGCATCGCCAGTGCGTCCCAACATCATCTACATCACCATGTACTCAAGCAACCCCCGCTTTCACACGTATGACGTCACCAGTCTGCGGGGGGCGACATGAATACCGCTGGATGCGTCGAGTCACAGCAGCAAGAGAGGCCTTCCGCCCTCAGCAATTACGGGCCCATCTAGCCCTTCGCCTCGGCCTCGCGCAGGCACAACGCGACGCCGCACCCGGCACCGCATACGGCGCCACATACGCCCCATTCGGCGGCGACCATCTACTCCAGGAGGTCACTCGCGTCCACAACGGGGCCGCTGACGCCGGCGCATGGCATCGCGCCCTCCTACACGCAAGCTACCGAAGTATGAAAGGTATCACTCATGGAGGTGCACATAAGATTGAACGATTCAGCGGCCTGGCGTTAGTGCCAACGAGCGCATACTTTGCGCGATGGACAATGAGCGGCCGCGGTGCTTCTTGATTACCCGATATACGTATTAGCCTGTACGTGTCTTCTTCCGCGGGAATCTCAAGGAATCTTCTCTCCAGTTCGGATCATCGACGATTTCTTCGGCGCCTTCATCTTGCCAGTTGAGTCAAAGAAACTGTCCTATGAAAGGATGAATCTTGATCGATGGAACGAAGCGATGCATTTTGATATTATCGGTAGAGAGGATCACTCGAGTGTCGCGGTATAGTGAGATTGTGATTAGAAAAAAGATTCAATGAGTGTGGTACGCAAGAATGTATGTGCGTGCATACGATAAACGGTGAACGATGCCGATTGATTTCTCTATCTTTATCCATATCTATCTGTCTCTCTCTAATCTTTCTTACATTCTTGTAAGACGGTGCTCGTAAAGCCCGTCACCGTGTCCGTCTAACGTGTATCGTCTCGTCTATTTATCTAATCTAGCCATTAAAGAGCCATGTTAGGGGATGCACACACGGATGCGATGCGTATGCGAAAAAAGCGGCAGCCTACTTTTTTTCCTTTCCTTTCCCAGAAGAGAGAAAAACTGCCATGATCTCTCGATATCGCGTGCTGAAAGCTATCTCTCTTTCCGGGAGATATCTCTCTACTTGTACTAATTCTTTATCACTGCCACCCTTCGCGATCGAAGGGTCGCGAAATTTTGAAAGTAGTTTCAACCGAAAGTAGGCCGCCACCGCAATAGATGCAATGAAGGAAAAACCAGTGTACAGGACAAATGCTAAAGTAACAAATTAGGCAGGATGGACAACTGTAAATATTGTTCTTAGATGTTAGTCGATGCTGTAAATAAAACGGTCGCCAGACTCATTGTAGGGTATTGAGACGCAAAAGACGATCACGCTTGTGGCAAGTGTTGTCATTTCCTTTCACGAGCAGTTATCAGACAAAACTTGTACTCGATGCAGACAAAAAAGTTCATTAATTCTTGTTATGCAATGTGGAATACGCCGCTTTCGCCAATTTTTCTCGAGATAATATTATATTTCCAGTTTGTTGAATAATTACATCAGATATATCCTTTATTTTATTTTATTCATTAATCAAAATCAGAATTTGTAAAATTGTTTCTAACTTAAGATCGAACTGTTAAAATAAAACTGTTACTCGGTAAATCTCATCTCTACTAATGAAAATTCGAGATAGATTGACGAGATCTGGCATATATTTTATTTTGTTGAAATTTTAATTTATAAACATTTGTAAATTATCTCAAATCATATACATATAAGTTATATAATTTTTTTAATAAAGTTAAATTTATAATTTTATGTTACACAACACTATTCAACTAATCGATATAATTTTGATAGATTTTAATCTAATTTCGCAATAGTCGAATTGAACGTTATCGTTGCCACGAGCAGATAATCATCGCGCAACTAGATTCGTACGCGTCCACAGAATGCGTAATACAAATACATATATTATATACATAGGTCTGCCTCGCGAAGATCACACGTAATTTAACACATGTTGGTGTACTAGTTCGAAACTTTTTATACCATAAGTAAAAGCATGTCGCACTCTCTCTTGTTGCGTTCGCGCAGTCCACCAGCTCTCAATCGTCGTGCGGAACTGATAATAATGGAGAGTAAGAGACGCGATGTTTTTTTTTTATTTATACTGTACTTCGCGTGGTGATCGACTTCTTTGCGCACGTGTCGCGAAGGGCGGTCGACGTGATAGCGTAAGCATGTAAAAGGGCGAGAGACCCTCGATCGCGAAGGAGTGCAAAAGGAAATCTACGTTCACCCTGAAGCTAGTAAGTAGAGGAAAATTATGCACGCGCGCGTATGTAATTCTTATGTAAATCCCGATGATCTAGAAATAGTCCCCAAGCGAGATTACGCGCGAGATACAACGGAAGTAACAACCCTTAAGTACGTATTATACGCGTGACGATGTCAGTCACTAGCAATATCGTTAATCCAGAACCTTTTCTAGTACCGGAAACCGAAATCGTAGAGAGAAAGCGGAATAGGAAAATTTTACAACATCTCGTAAGCGAACTACGATCGGACGTAATAAATAAATAAATTTTACATGACACGATTTGAGAAAATTTTAGATAATGTATTTATCATAACTCAGGGATCCTGTAACCCTGTAAGAATTATTATAAGGCAATAAAGCGAAATTTTTTATTTTGATCTATAGATAAAGATGGAAATACATAGATAAAGCGTATGGTATGACAATCTTGGATCACTGCCCGCTGTATTTCTTTACGAGATGTTGCGAGCGCAGAGCACAAGCAAAAGAACTGAAAAACGAAAACTGCCTCATATAATTTAACATATTGACTGCCACATCATTCATATGTGAATGACACTCATATTCATGCCCAATTCTCAGATTGCCAAACGCATGTTCTTTTATAATTTATACTCTTTTGCTACAAAATATCATTGAATGACTTCTTCCGAGGTGTCATTCGTATTTGAATGATGGGACGCTCTCAACAAGGAGTATTATTCGTATATGACTGACGTGGCAGGGAATGTGTTAAATGCGTCAACCGTCGTGTGTCTTAGACGGTTTAGAAACCTTTGCCAAAATGGAAACATACACACGTAATGTTGTAAATTAGTGGGAGTAAAGATGTCTTACAATTAGTGTCCACATATCACGCCAATGATCGAAGAGAGGGGAGGAAGTGAACGATATCGCGTTCACACGAAAGCGAAAGGAAGGAAAGAGTAAAGAATGTGAATTCGGAGCATTGCAAATGCCGGAAATGCGATTTTTTCCGCGGATATTGAAAAGTATTCGATAGGCGACATTGAGGAGTGGCGTAGAGAAACCGATAAGAGGAATCTTTATAAGTATTTGTATAAGCCACTTTTTGTCACACTAATTGTCAATAAAAATGAGAGTATTGTGTGTATTACGAGTGTGTTTCGAGTAGTGTACGGAGTAACCACTCCGCTTATTCTTCGCGATGTTAAAGCGTAATATCAAAGCCTCTCTTTGTGTCCCTTCTTTAATTTTTATCCGTGCGTTTTCTCTCATTCAATTATTTACGTTCTGGATTGCGCGACGAATTTTACACGCGGTTGCCATCGGCCGCTCTGTACAATTTTTATGTTGCCATAGTAACCATAGGTGTAATCTATCGCTATCGGTTCCAAAAATATAAAAATATACATATATAGTTATTTATATACATATATGTATATATATATATAATATATATTATATATATTTATATACATATATAATACGGCCGCGTGTACATATAATACGCGTATATATCCAAAATGTATACGATTTTTAATACATTTTATTATTATTTAGTTTCCCTGCGTTAATTGTTTCCCTGTCTTCCTTTGGATGATGACCTTTACTTTCCTGTCTCGACGTTGTTTATTTTTCTTACTCCAGTTTACCACGTATTTTTTTTGGTACGACGTGATGGAATCGGAATAATGTACTGATACCTCACATCTCGCGAATAAATCTGCGTTCTAATCACTGCTAGGTGTTTACTGCAAATTTATTTTTAAGTTGGGTAATTATTTGGGTAATTATTTTTTACTTATATACTATAATTTTTATGTATATATATATATATATATACACGATGCCCCAAAATTAACGAATCAAAATCTTATAGCAAGGTTTTTGAAAAATTAAGTAAAAAAGTTATGTGTACATTTTTATTTCAAGCAGTAGTTTTTGAGATATAGCGATTTAAATATAGCCAATTACAAATTACGTTTAGACGGTTACCCGTCCATAAATCGCGCGTGCGGTAATTTAGTAAGCGCGCACTCTGGGGTTTAAACGTTATCCGTTTAAACGAAGCCTGTAATTGGCTATATTTAAATCCTTATTATTTCAAAATTGCTTAAAATAGAAATAACTTTACAAATAACTATTTTACTTAATTTAAAAAAATTTTCTTACTGTAATCTTTTGCTTCTCTTTCGAGACACTTTGTATATGTACGTATATTCGTTACATTTCTTTTTTTCATTTTTGAAAACTTTATTCAAATGAATTCGTAATTGTGCCGTTTACATTACATTATCAAAATTATTCTAGCAATCACATAAAGAATTATAAATTTTTTCATAGATATTTGACACATACTTAAATAAATTTTAATTTATCTGATGTACCTTATAAAGAGGAAATATTCACGTTCTTCTTTTATTCAATTTACAAAGTTACGTTGCGCATCGCTGCTACAAAGTTTCATATTCCTCATGCAACCTTGACGATAAGAAGACAACGACAGCATTGGGCACATCGCCAGCCAAGTCGGGAGTAAACCACCCCCGTAACGTGAGTCACGGGTAATGGGGCTGAAGAGGAAGGAGACGACTGGCAGAAGGGGTGCAGTTCGAATTTATGGTTCACTCCGAGGGTTATGCGTTTACAGTCTGGCTACTTGGGACAAGAGATAAAGATCTGTCCTGTAGTCGTTCGTAATTGTTGATCAACCGATCGAGTTACACGTCGCTTCTAATTGGATCGTCACAACATTATCGTGGATGAAAAGCATCGCTGTGATGAAACACCGTTGCAATATCGTAAATGCTTCGAACGAACGTTTCTTGCGTCACAAAATTTAATGTCCAATTAATTACGTGCGAAACTGCTCGAGATATTCGCTATTTGTGCATTGAAATTATTGAACAACTTTTCTAAATCATTAAGGGCGGTGGTAATCCAGAAATCTCCAGCCATCTCTTTAATCATTTCACAGTGCAATGTCTAGCTAAATTAGTAATTTAACTTGCTTATTTACGAGAACATTAAGATCCATTTAATTAATATTTTAATAAAGATCCTTTACAGCAATTGACAATTATACATTTATAATATTTTGAATTGCAAGACATATTCTAAGTTGCAGACTTTTCGCAGACCAAAAAAGGGTACAGAATTAAACGATAGTGCAAGATTAATTTTGAATCGTGTTTATTTTATGGCAGAAGATCGGAAAATTTTTAATATAAAATTTTTATAACCGATTTAGAGTGGAGTATTAATAATTCCATTTTGAGCCCGGTTTGCGTCACTTAGCGATGTATTTTTTGTTTTTTCCGAAGACTCTCTCTCTCTCTCTATAGTCCGTCCGATAACTCGCTTCTCCATCTATAATTAATTTGAATTGCGAGTCACAGGACAAACGTTTATCGCGTCTCGTTATTGAAATAAACCGTCGTCGTAATCTCGACCCGGACGCGAATTATTATTGTCCGAGAAAAGAAAGACGTCGCATAATAGCGCTATATCGACTCCGCGGAGTCGTAAAATGGAGGTTTCATTGGCGATATCAGATATCGGCTGATCGTTTGCATTTGAACATTCATTATGTATGTATACATGCACGTATGTAGAGGGTGTCATAGAATCATTGCTGTCCTTTTTATTTACAAATTCTTCGATCAAATGGGAGAGTCAATCTTTTTTGCAAGAATCTGCATAATCATTTTGGAGCTATGAGATATTGAAATTGAACCCGTTGTGAGTTACACATGTTGAAAGTACGAATTATCATAAAAATAACGAGATTTCGAGAATTTATAGCGTACGTCTGAACCACCCCATATACAGCTTCAAAGCACACAAGCAACTCTTATCTCAAAGGCAAAGGTTGCGCGCTGCCGCCACGATAGCGGCAATTCGATTTCTTTTTCTCCGAGAAATCAATCTCTGCGCTAATAATATATAGAGAGTAA